TGCTGTGGAGTCAATTCCGACTCATAGCAACCCTACAGGACAGAGCAGAACTGCCCCATAGGGTTTCCTAGGAGCAACTGGTGGATTCGAACTGCTGACCTTTTGGTTGGCAGCCAAGCTCTTAATCACTGCACCACCGGGGCTCCAGGGCTCCCCCATAAATATTACAGCCTAGAAAACCCTATGGGGCAATTCTACTCTGTCACATGGGGTTGCTATGAGTCAGAATTAACTTGACATCATACAATAACAGCAACAGTCTTTAGACATTGCTGCTCTGATACTTTGTGAAGCCTGGTATCAAAAAATCCACTGGTCTCTTACTTTTCTTCTAGCCAAGGCAGGGGGAAGTTGTGAGGGGCCTGTATCGAATCTCCTTTCCCTCAGATCTCAACAGTACCTGGTCTTAGTCCAGACCCCCAGGTTTAAGTCCTGGGTTTGAATCCTGCCTCTGTCCCTGACCCTCCAAGTGCTTAACCTAAGCCTCAGTTACTTCATCTGTTAAATGGAAATAATTATACCCACCTCCTAGGGTCAAGGTGAGGTTTAAATGAGATAAGGAAAGTAAATCACTTGGCTATGTGCCAGGCATGCAATAAGTCCTTCAAACACAGTAGCCATTTTTATATAACATCTCTTTCCACTCACAGCTCCCTCAGACTGTCCTCAGGGGGTGCATTCAGTAAGAAGTACCCACTGATCAAAGCTAACTACGAGTCCAAAGGAAGCCGGGGTCTCTTCGTTCTGGGCACTGCCAGCCACTCTGTGGACTACCGAAAATCTGCGGGGGGCTTCATCCATGGATTCCGATACACAGGTGAGCCCGGCCGAGAAGGCCAGCTGTCCCCAGACAGAGCCACCATCAGGATCCCCAAGGTTTATAAACACATTCCTGATTTTCAGAAGCATTAAAGGATTTCTTTTTTTTTCTTTTAATAATTTATTTTGTTGTTGTTGAGAATATACACAGCAGAACATATACCAATTCAACAGTTTCTACATGTACAATTCAGTGACACTGATAACATTCTTTGAGTTCTGCAGCCATCCTCACCCTCCTTTTCTGAGTTGTTCCTTTTCCATTAACATAAACTCACAGTTCCCTAAGTTTCCTATCTAATCTTTCAAGTTGCTGTTGTCTATTTGATCCCATAAACAAAACCAAAAACCAAACCGTTGCTTTCAAATCAATTATAACTCATAGCAACCCCTAGGACAGAGTAGGACTGCCCCATAGAG